GTCATCTATTTCCATACCTAACAATGTCCAAGAGGCTCTTAGTTCACCTGGGTGGAGGCAGGCAATGGAGGAGGAACTCTCTGCTCTTCAGCATACTCACACATGGGAGCTCACTACTCTTCCTCCTGGTAAGCATGTTGTGGGTTGTAAATGGGTGTATACTGTTAAATACTTGCCAGATGGCAGTGTGGAGCGTCTGAAAGCCAGCCTTGTTGCTAAAGGTTATTCACAGTTGTATGGAGTGGACTATATGGAGACCTTCTCTCCAATGGCTAAGATTAGCTCTGTCTGTGTGTGAATTTCCCTAGCAGTTATGTATGATTGGCCCCTATTTTAACTTGACATAAAAAATGCCTTCCTTCATGGTGACCTTATAGAGGAGGTATATATGGAGCAACCACCTGGGTTTGTTGCTCAGGGGGAGGCTGGTAAGGTGTACAGACTGAAAAAGGCAATTTATGGGTTGAAACAATCACCTCGTGCTTGGTTCGGGAAATTTAGTGAAGTGGTGAAGAATTTTGGAATGAAACAATGCCAGGTTGATCACTCAGTGTTCAACTATAACTCAGAAGCTGGAAAGATTTTATTAGTGGTCTATGTGGATGATATTGTCATAACTGGCAGTGACAAATTGGGAATCGACAAACTAAAGGTCTTTCTGCAAAATCATTTTCAAACAAAAGACCTTGGAACATTGAAGTATTTCTTGGGTATAGAAGTTGCTCGATCAAGACAAGGTGTAAACCTGTGCCAAAGAAAATATGTTCTCGATCTATTGGACGAAACAGGACTATTAGGTGCAAAACCGGCTGAGACTCCTATGGAACCAAATGTTAAGTTGAGCAGTGATACAGSGGAAATATTTGATGATCCTGGAAGGTATAGACGACTAGTGGGGAAGCTGAACTATTTGACTATCACGAGACCARACATCTCCTTTGCAGTCAGTGTGGTAAGCCAATTTATGCAGAACCCTCGTATATCTCACTGAGATGCAGTTCTTAGAATTGTAAGATATCTGAAGGGAGCTCCGGGCCGTGGGCTATTGTATAAASCAGGAGGAAAACTTGAAGTAGTTGGGTACACAGATGCAGATTGGGCGGGCTTTGTGTCTGATAGAAGATCTACTACAAGTCACAACACATTTCTTGGAGGAAATCTTATGACGTGGAAGAGTAAAAAGCAGACGGTTGTGGCTAGAAGCAGTGCTGAAGCCGAGTACAGAGCCATGGCACACACTACATGTKAATTAGTGTGGTTGAGGAATCTCCTACAAGAAATCGGGTTCCACATGGATAAACCTATGAAGTTGTACTGTGACAATCAAGCTGTGCTCCATATCTCATC